TGTAGTATTTGTTTCGTAAGATATAATTATTTCTTACACTTATAGGTCCTAATGTTATTTTTCTCCCTACGTCCCGCGTGTTTTGATCAGTATCAAAACACAAAAAAAAAACAATTTGGCGTTTTTCAATATCTATAATTTCAATCGATACCTATTCAAGCGAGCCTCTCGCTCAAACACTGAGAGCGTTCTGACCAAAAACGGCCTAAAAGTCACCAAAAAAGCCTCAACCTTTGCTGAAAGTACGATATAATTTTGGGGAAATACTTCTTAAGGCATATAAAGTCGATAACTTTATTCCAGACGTTTCGCCTTTTCAGGCTTCATCAGTGGATACAACTGAAAGTACGATATTTGCGTACACATGTGTTTCATCTTTGTTCTTAGCTCATATAAAGACGAAAGCCGGTGTAAACATGCACAACGCGAGTCTAAAAAACGACAGACGACATTTCTTGAACTTCACGGATACCTTTAAAGGCATTTTCGGTACTTTTGACGGGTTGACACAACCCGACGACTTTTTTGGAGGTGCCCTGTATTCAAGACATCGAAAATATTCTAAGTGCCATGGAAYACATTAGCATATYRATGACATCACTTCCGGTCTTGACGGGTTGACACAACCCGACAACTTTTTTGAGGGTGCCCTGTATTCAAGACATCGAAAATATTGTAAGTGCCATGGAATACATTAGCATATAAGTGCAACACTTCCGGTTTTAAATGTCTTCTAAACAGGGCACCCTCAAAAAAGTCGTCGGGTTGTGACAACCCGATCAAGTTGATCACCTCGTCACTTCCCCCCTCCTAATTTTTTTTTCAAATTTTTTCAAATGACGTCGCTTCCGGTTTTGTCGGATTGACACAATCCGACGACTTTTTGAGGGTGCCCTGTTAAAAAAACGTCGAAAATATTCTAAGTGGCATGAAATACATTAGCATTATCTATAACCACCGATGGACATGAGTTATAAATGTAACCTGGGGTGGGGAGGTTTTAAACAAAACTGCTTAAATAGCGACATGGTCAACCCGTCAAATACATTTGTCAACCCGTGTCATGTCGGAGTGTTGGACAACCCTCAGAATGGTAGAACTGGTATTTAGCCAGAGCATGCGGGAAGGATGGGATATCACTGAAGTTGATCTCTTTCACAACCTTGCTCAGCGTTATGCAATACTGATGGAAGAAACTTATGGATTACAATTTTGTAAAATTACTGTGCACAACCTTTTTCATGTCAAAGAGGATGCAATGAGGTTTTCCCATCCTGATAACTACTGGTGCTTCTCATTTGAAAGGGCTGTAAAGAGATATACCTCTACTAATTTCAAGAACATTGAATGTACCTATGCCAAAATGGAAAAGAGAATTAATGAATCTCTTAAATACCAGTCCAAGACCGTAGGCGCAAACCCTTGATAATAGATATTGATAAGGTTTGTAGTTTTTCTTTATGCTTATTGTGTTGTTTATGAACCTCTAGTAAAAATTTAACAAATTGAAGGCAGTTTTTTATGGGTCTGTACTATAATCAACAATAAAAATGATCAAAACTAAAGTGGAACGAGCACAGCAAGAAAACTGGCTATAGAAAACTGTCTTTGACCAAATTCTTTTATCAAATTACAAAGCACTAGAATAGTGCCATTCAATAAAAACAAAAAAAATAAAGACCACTTCAAAAAATGGGGCCCTTTAAAAGACAGGATTTCTTCGGTTTAATTTATATATAATATACTTCATTGTGAATAAGACACAGCAGCTATTGTGTTTTTGTAGTGTCTATGTTCAGCATGTCTGTATTTTGTTTACAAGTTATGCTAAAAATTATATTGTGTTTGAATCAAGTTTTATCTCTACATTAGATGTGTGCAAAGAACCTTGAAGCTGCATATGATCTCATCAAAATAGTAACTGAGTCTCATATTTCACAAATGAACCGGTGTAACAAAGGAGTTTTAGTTGGGGGGATGTCTAGCAATTAGTGTACTTTGTTAAGGGAACAAATAATACAGATAGAAGATTGTTTTGATGGTGTTAATGTTCAGGATGTCCAAGAGATGGCTGTATAGAGTTGGAGAACATATTATTATTAATGATGTTTCCAATGTAGAAACAGTTATTGAGCTCATGGCATTTTATTGTGTCCCAATTGGTAGCGTTTACTTCACCTTCTGTGAAGGCAAGAAATATGATACCATGGACGATGATGATGGTAATATTTGACTGTGCACTAATATTCAGGACATAAATTTGTAGCTGAGACACCAAATGTTACTATCCTGTGTCCATCACAAATTTCTAAAAAATCATGCTTTTTCCATTTTTGTTTTGATCAAGAAGACAACAATGATTTAATTGCTGTTGACTACCTCCGAAAGCAGATGCCAGTGATCCAGAATGAAGTTTACCCAAAGGTCAATGATATGGTGCTCATAAGGGGAGACGGTTTCCCAAAGTTATCAAAGTCAAAGAGAACACAAAGATGGTCAAACTTTGGTATTATAAGAAAGCTGATGAAAGAGATGATGAATGCACTACTTACATTGCAGAGTTGAATAGAAGATTGGCAACAGATCATGTGTCATGGGATTCAATGATCACATTAGCACCTGGAGGAT